TATTATATATTTTAATTTATTAAATTGCTTCTTTAATTTGTTTATTAAATAAATACATATTTTAATTCATTAAATTGACAGAGGAGAATTTTCCTCAGTTCATGCTGTGCATATTGACAATCAAAATTTGCCAAATACATAATATTTTAAATGTAATATGAACATAGTAATTATTATTAAATAAATATTATTAGATTTTGTTGGAGACAAGGTAAATAATTATTTTAAATTTAAATAATTATTTATTTATTTATTCCTTATATGAGACAAATTATTTACTTATTTTTGATTTGCAAGGTGGTAGAATATTAAAATAATATATAAGGGACAATGCGAGTACGTTTAGATAGGGAAGTCAATTGAAATTGTGAGTGCGATCTTTTTGGTTACATCGAGATTTCATAAATTTAATTCATTAAAATTATTTTTATAATTTATTCTTTAAATATAATTAATATACTTTACCACATAAAATTACTAAAAATAATACACTTTTTTTTATTACTATTGTTTTTAAACTCTTGACTTTTTTTCAGTAGTGCACAATTACAAGTAATTCAATAAAAAAGGAAAAGCAAAAATTAATTATTAATATAGTAGTATTTACCAATAAGTCTCACAATACTAATTTTTATAAAAGGTATTTATAAATCATAAACGTTACGTCATTATTGAATTTTTATATGACATAATTTTGATTTACATATAAAATATACCAGTATCAGATGAGCAAATATATCATTCTTATACAATCATGTGCTATTTTCTTATATGATCAAATTATGCAACAATATGCATCCCTTTTTATGTATCTTACTTAGACCATCAGATGCTATTTTTTTGTATAATCAGATATGTATCTTTTTTAACAAAAAAATTTCAAAATTCGTGAAGTGATATTTTACTAAAAGTGCATTTAATCACTTTTATATTTTTTTATTTTAATTTTTCTTTGTTCAAATAAAACTTTATCACTTTTATATTTTTTATTTTAATTCAAACAGAAACTTATATTATTACTTTATATTTTATTTTAAATTTTTATGACTTTATTTTAAATTTCATATATTTTATAATAAAAAAATCTTATTTTCAAATTTTATTATGAAAGGATTTGAAAATTTAATTCAATATAATGATGATGATACCGTAAATGTACCTTTTGGTCATATTGCTGAATGGTATATTATAAATCATCTATTATTAAAAAATATTTGCTTAAAATATCAAACGTGAAGAAAAACTGCAAAATTAATTAAAGCAAATATTATTGATATAAGTCAAGTGGAAGGTGCTATTGATTTTATTGAATGAAACACAAAAAAGGTGATATAAAATCAACAAATAAAATCGATAATATTATTAAATTAACTTCAAAAGAAGAAGAATATGTTAAATAATAGAGACAAAAGAAAAAAAGGATAAATTGTATTAATCTTAGAGAAGAAAATTGTGAACATAAATGTAAGAGAATTAGTAGTTGTAAAAAAGCATGTATAAATTATTCTCTTTAAAATAATTTAAAAAATTATCACAATTTGCATTTGTACAAAGTTCATATAATTTCTGAATTAAAACTTTCCTGGTTAAATAAAGAAAAATCCCTTAAAATCAAAATAGTTGGATTATATCTACTAATAAATATTTTTATATTATATAATCCAAGTATTTCAAAGTTGAATTTATTATGATAAGTTAGAGATCATATTATAGTTAATAAATCAGATCATTGTACAGCCAATTCTGTTAAATCAAAATTATTAATACCCTTTAATGAAGCAAAAAAAAATAAATTAAAGGAAGTATTAAAAAATCAATATCAAATATGTAATAATAATAAACTTAGATCTTACTTAATGCATGATGATCAAAGATTAGGAAAAAATTCAGGTCTGTGAATTACATTATTTAGTTATAGAAGTTTTAAAACTAAAAGGAGATATTTTATATTATTAATAATCTGATCCTTTACAACCTGAAGAGGAAAAACAATTTTATTAACTTACTTTAACTAATGAATTCTAGCTAAGAAATGGCAAAAAATTTGGTCAAAATTGTATTGAAATAGATTCAAAATATGATTTAAATAATAATAAGGTTCCAGTATTAGTATTTGTTACTGAAAATAACAGTGACTCTAGAACACCACTTGCTTTTGATAAGAAAATTATTGAAAATTTAAAAGAATTAGAATATTTGTTTATTTTTCGCTAAAAATAAAAAATTTAGTATTAAATAAGTAAATTAAAAAAGCAATTTAATGAATTAAAATATGTATTTATTTAATAAACAAATTAAAGAAGCAATTTAATAAATTAAAATATATAATAATAATAAATGTATTTATTTACTATTTTAGAAATAAGTAATAAAAAAAACTAATAGACAATAAAATTATCAATAGTAGCAATAAAAATGAATATTTCATATGATCAAGATAATTGTGAACATAAATAGAGTTATGTTAATTTGCCAAATAGTAAAGGATTTAAAAGAATAAGAGAATGCAATTCTTTTAATTAAAATCCTTTAGTTATGATAGATAAGCATAGGCCATTAAAAATTGCTGTAGATAATAATTTACATGGAATCATATTATGTTAGTTCCATATAATGCATACAATTAGTGAACATTTTAATTATTAGAATATTCTGTGGCTATTACGGTAAATATATATAAAAACTTTGCTTTGAATTTTTTTTTATTTGATATTATTTTTACTTTATAAATTCAAAATTAACTAATTAAATTTAAATTTTAGAATTAGATATCCTTTAGTATTAGCTTTTAAAATAATTGGACGAAATAGAACTAAAAATAAATCTAAAGAACTTGATTTACTTTATAAGAATTTGTTAATTCACTAGAATTATCAGATAATATCAAACAAAAATTAATAACTGATTTAAATCAAAATTGGTTATATGATGAATGGTGATTATCTTTTATTAATGCTGGATGCATTTTACAGAATTTTGAATGTATTATGACTACTAATAACTTTACAGAATAATTAAATCAAACAATAAAAGCAAATTATAGTGAAGTTCAAACTATTGTAAATTTTATAAAACGTTTATATGGAGTGAAATTAAAAAGAGAAAATATAACTGAAAATAATAGACAACTTCAATTTAAAGTAGGGTTAGTAACATTATTTAATATGAAGTCAATTGAAGAAGCAAGTATTATTATTGTCTTTTTGTTTTTTAAATATTTAAACTTTTAAACTAAATATATAATATTAATAAGGAAAATTGTTCAAAAAAATTATCATCTGATAAACTTCAAAGATTTAATTATGAAAGGCTTTATTTTTTACTGAAATTTATTGAATCTTCAAACCATGATGATTATTTTTATATTCGAAAGTTTGATAATATTCAAATAATAGACTCATCGTTTAATAGTAAATCTATCAAACTAAGTGAGAAGACAACAAATAATTTACAACCTTTATTAAAAAAAATGGAACAAATACATTTAGATAAAGTTTCGCATCAAGAAGAATATTATTTAACAAATATTTTAATAGATGAATATATTTGTTATGATTATATTTGGAATAGACTATTTTGAGATATTTGTAAACTTATTCATGCAGCATGTCTTTTTCGTAATACTAATCTACATTCAGATAAGAAATTATTTTCTAAACAAATAAAAAAAGATCTTGTTACTTATTTTAAAAACAAAGAAAGATAATTCTTATTGAAAATAAAAATAGATTAATATATGAAGGAGATACTGATATAGCATATGATGAAATAATCAGACTCTATTATTTACAAGGTAAAGAATTTTTTATTTTAATTTATATTTTAATTTAATGATTATATTATATTTATTAAAAATTTAGAAGAATCGGTATTTTCGCCAAAAGATAATAATTCTGAATGTAATTTAGATCCTTTTAGACCACCAGAATTGAAACATAAAACTAATAAAGGAGCACTACCAAAAGCTGTGATAAAATCACGTAAACTATTACAGATTCTTCAAACCTCTCAATCAAATTCTCAAAATGAAACCAATTCTTTTGCTTCAGAAAAAAAAAATACTAAAAGAGCAAGAAAAAATCTTCGAAATACAAAAGTATATTTCTATTATTTATTTTACAGTAATTTATTATTTATATAAATAAATTTTATTTTATTTAGGAACAAACCAAAGAAGAAATTT